AAGTATCTAGTTATTGGAGTAGTGGAGTTTTACCACGTTATTGTACTTGATGTTTGCAGAGTATAATAATACCAGTACCAGTTGAAACCTCATCTGTTGGCTCCGTGTTCGTATTTTATCATCGCCGCCAGGGAAGTCTTTTTGTTACTGTTGCCATTTTGGTATTTGAACCATCACACCTGTACTATACCAATTACGGTAATATTACGTTGCGTGTGACATACTGTTACAACAATGCCCAACAACCAAGGTTTATATGGTTATTGCCATGGAAATTGAAATTGTTATAATTTTGTTAACAAATCTCGTAAGGTTCAAAAAGTCCATAGTAGCATTTTTTATTCTAAGAAAAATGAAATTCCCGAAATCAATAATCAAAATGATAGGTTTATATTTAAAAGGAAACCGCTTCGTAACATTTCGTGGAAATCTATTTATATCCTTTTGTGTTTAAAAAAAATCAAAATATTAATCTTGATTTCTTGATTTCCTTGATTTTTTTAAAGTGGCAATTTACTCTCGTATATATATTTACTCTCGATGTTAATGACATCTGTAGTAAATATTGTAAATGTTGAATCGAATGTAATTAAGTTCAAGTTAGGTAGAATTAGCTGTATTATAAAATCGGTATATATATATATATATATATATATATATATATATATATATATATATATATATATATCAGTAATTTTAATGAAAAAAAAGTACATTTATCTTAGTAATAGTGACACCTGTTGTTTAGTGTGATGAACCCCCCCCCCACGGTTGGGTACAGGAGCATAGAAGTTTTTAATTAAAATTGTTTTCCATAAGAAAAATGAAACCATCATACATGGCCTTATAAACAGCCTTTTACTTCATAGTGGGGTGGGTGGAGTAAAGCTGTGATTATTTTTATTACTTTCTGACCATCTAGTTTGCCATTTACCATGTCCATATAAACTAAAGCTCCAGCCAATATCAGATTTGACTACTTGTTTCAAGCTATGGCACTTGGAAATGAGTGTTGTGACATGTGGCAAATGTCCAACTGTCTTGGTTAATAAGATTGGC